CTATGGATATTTGCTAACTTCTACCCAATATCAGGTGGAATATTAGATAAACACCCTAAAGAGCTGGAGAGAAAAATCCATAGTTTATACTATGGTTTCAATATGAAGTATCCCTCAAATGTTCCTATGCTAATGCAGGAATATTCAGAGGTGAAATGATTAGATTGCGAGAGCTGTAACCTAATTGGTACATTACTAGTTTGAATGGAGGAAGTGGGTGACAACTGTGGGCAAGTGGGTCATGTCTGGAGGAGAGGTAGATCACTAGGGGCATGCCCTGGAAGAGTGCATCTTTCCTATGGCTGCTTCCCCTTCCTCTGTATCTGCTTCCTGGCTGCCAAGATCTGAGAAGCTTTCTTCTACTGCACTCTTCAGCCATAATGTTCCTCTTTACCTTGGGCAAGAGCAATGGCATTGGCCACTGATGGACTGAACTTCTGAAACTGTAAGCCAAAATAAAATCTTCCTCCTCTAAGCTGTTCTTACTGGATATTTTGGTCACAGACATGGAAAGCTGACTAACAGTTTCTTTAATTGCCTTTCCTATAAATGATTTAGCTGCCTTTAGAATACATGCTGCTGTAGAAATAAACACAAGGGATTGTAGTCTGATAAATGCACCTATTAGGGAAAATAAATAGGTGGTTTTTGTTGTTGTTGTTGTTTACTGTGATGTTGAGATTTAGCTCCACTATCTTTTAACAAAAAGACAGGGACACAGATATACATTCTTTTTTTAAAAAATCAAATCAACACAGAGTAAAAGTTGGCATAATGTTTCCACTAACGCTTGGTTTATTCTGTGGAAATTCCCTTAAGGACCATAATGAGGAAAAATAATTCATTTGACAAAGAATTTATCCTGTTCTGAGATGAGAGGTAGTAGCAGATATTAAAACTTTATTAAAACTAAAATGTTTATTCCATAGCACTTACACCTAAGGAACAACAACAAAAAAAGATACTGCTGGGCGTGGTGGTGCACACCTATAATCCCAGTGACTTTGGAAGCTGAGGCAGGAGGATCAGAAGTTCAAAGCCAGCCTCAGAATGGCGAGGTGCTAAGCAAATCAGTGAGATCTCTAAATAAAATACAAAATAGGGCTGGGGATGTGGCTCACTGGTTGAGTGCCCCCCCCAAAAAAAAATAAAAGAAAGAAAGAAAGAAAAGAAAGAAATGATACTGACTTGTTGCATTTTGAGATTTTTTTTTTAAATTTGGCAAACCCTTTTCCCTTGATGCCAGAAAAATTGTTTCTATTCTTGCCTTCCTCTATTTCCACTCTCTTTCCTTTTCTCTTTCTCAAAAATTTAGCTGTAAGGCATTTTATTACTATGTTATTGAAGTAAACTGGAAACAGAACATAGGATATTTATATTTTTGTGAAGAGTGAAAAGTTACCATTTTAAAATAATAATAAGTGCTTACAAAAATACATTTTCCCCTGTTGAACTCTGAAAGTCTTTCTTCTTTGCTTTGACACTTCTCATTCCCATCCAAGATTATGACAGACCTGATCCTTACAAATGAATAGAATTATGATTTTTTTTTTTTGCAAAATAAATATACAAAGAAGGGTATTCCCACTTTGGGTAGGTATCTTAATGGGTAGTTTTGATTGGACTTAGTTTTCTAAGTCTAAGCAGATATACTAACTTGGATGAAAAACACGGGTTAGGAAAAAATATAATCTGTAGAAGCTAAAGGGCTTGATTTTCTTTGTGGCAAATATGTATTTTGTGTAACTCCAAAGTTGAAGTAAAGACAAATGAATATCCCCATGGTGTAATCACCTAGTTGAAAAATCAGGTGACTTCAGTCTTCACATTCCCTTTTAGCACAGTACGTTTTTATGTTTTTTTATATCTTGGTTGGTAGATGAGTCAATGTTTAAATGGTCATTCATCATTTACCATATAAAAGAAAAGCTATTACCTGAAACTCATTTTTACAGTTGCAGGCAAACAGAAATAATCATTTTCAAGGACCTAAAGCTGTTTCGTGAAGAATGTCATCATTTTATCCTTATTTTACTTACTATTTACTTAGATATGAGCCAGCTTTGAGAGCAGCACCTTGCAAGTTCTGGCCGTAAAGAGTTTCTACCAGGTTCCTGCTGCAGCTGGTGATGAGAGGAAACTGGGCATTCTGGGAACCACAGTTATCTTTCAGACAAATCAAAGAACAAGGCCAATGGCACAAAGCCAGCCACAGAAATCATGGTTCCCATATGGGCTACATTATATTGGTCATATTGAGGCAAGGTGATCAGGTGAATTCCACAATGTCTCAGTGGGAATCATTGCACTTAATGGCAGGGCCAGGCTTGGTTGGCTCAGACATTTCAAGAATTACCATTCCTAATCTGTGGGCTGGGTTTTCATAAATATCTGCTACCTTTTCTGTTAATGAAATGAAATATGTTATGTAGAAAGGGATATTGATTCAAAATCTACTTGGATCATGGTTTTCATGAAAATTAATAAGAAGGACTTGATAATGCAGGCAAAGTCTTTAGGAGAAAGAGTTTGATGAGTTACAAAGTGTAAAACAGCTCAAGAGTCACCTAGAACTGGTTTCGAGTCCTCCCTTTTCTATTTAATAACACTGAGGGCATAGCATTTATTGAATCTCTTCATTTTGCATTTCCATTATGGTCATAAACAGAAGGAATAATAACATCTATATCTAACAGTAGTTGTGAGTGTGAAATAAAATATATGTAAAAGTTCTGCTATACTGGCTGATATGCCGTAGGGGCTCAATAAATGTCAAGGAGTTCTGGTTATGAAAGTTTCTGTTCCAAATCCTGGTTTACTCACCCTTGCTGACCAGCAGAGCCAGACAGTGTGGAAACATCCAGAGACTTTAAGTTCCTTTCACTTTAAGTCTAGAACTCAGGTTTTGCAGCCTTCTCTTTTCTCAGGGTCTTTCTCTACCCCACAATGTCTTCCAATCCATAGTTTTCACCAACAAGAGAAGAAAGGACAAGGTTGCATTTAGAAATTTTTAACTTTGAATTTTTCTCTGCAAATGTTATGGTCCAAGGCTCCCATAGTTTCATTGTGAACAGACCTCCCTGAGGATAGTGCAAACATCTAATGGCCAGTGAAGACTTTTTTTTTTTAATTACAAAATACAGACAGAAAGTAGTCACATTTTTAGAATCAATCACATGGGAAAATACAGAATAGGAAAAAGTTACCATGAAATTGGTAATTTTCATAAGAACGTTTGCATTTTAGTTATCAGAAGCACATCTGTGCACATTTGAAAACTAGACAGTGAGGCATCTACTCAGGAGACTCATTGTTTATTCAGCCTTCAGGCACTTAAGTCTGTGTGTCCCTTGAAGTAATTTTTTAGCGTCCTCACAAAGGAGAGCCTCTGCCACTGGTTGAATCCCTGCTCTTGGTAATGGAAGGCTAGTGAGGGTTATGATGATATAAACCAGGTGAGGTCTTAGGGAGATTGATTGGCAGATCACTGGAGGCATAAGAGAGTTCTTACAGGGAGATTATTTGATGACCGTGACATTCAAAGCATGAGATATGGGGATGGAGGATGAGGTAATGAAAGTAGAAACCAAAATTAGTTGACAGATACAAAAAAATACATAAATTTGTTTTTTCTTACTTTTTTGTTACTTAGCTGTTGGAAGTAAAGGAAAGACTACAGATTCTTTGAAAGTACCAATGATTGGGAGAAAACAAGTGGTCAAAGGAAAAAGATGAACTTAAGTTCAGCCATCTTAAAGTAATGGTATAATTTGGTACAATGTTGGGGGTGGGGATGGGATGTATGCTAAGCAGGTAGTTAAAAAGATGGGATTGAAGTTCAAGAGGAGTCATGACTGTCAATAGAGGTTATGGAGTCATTTCTGTAGAAGTGATTATAACCATAAGAAATCACAACTGTAATAAGACAAAGAATGAAAAGAGCTGGAACAATTGAAGACAGATCTAGAGTCTACCAGAGTCAGGCAACATTTTCGGTAAAGAGCCGCGGAGCAGATATTTTAGGCTTTGTAGACCAATCATCTCTGATTCAACTACTTAACTATATCACAAACAAATATGCAAAACTCTTGCCTGTAAAAAGTTTATTTACCAAAACAAGTACTAAGTTGTAATTGGCCTAAGAGACTTAGTTTTCTGACCTCTGTTCTAGAAATGTAAAATCCTGAAGGCCAAGGAACTGTGTGCTTAGTTTCCTTTGTATCTCCAGGATCTAGCACAGTATCTGGTTTATAGTAGGTTCTTGACAGACATTTGTTGAGTGATAAGACTGTGGTTTCATCACTATGTTCATGTTTAACTTTGTTGGAGCAAAAAAAAAAAAACAACCAAGAGAATCCTGGGAGATATGACAACAATCAGGATCCTACAACACAGATAAAATCAAGAAAAGAGTGTGTGGAGAAAAGAAGTTCTGGCAACAGTGATGACTCTCATAACAGATCATGAAGAATCAGGAATGCTAAAAAGCTACTTTTCTAATAATTAGTAACACATCTGATACAGCAGTATAAAATATCAGAATAAGAGATCACAGGAATGTTATCAAAGGAAGGATGCAGACACACAAAAGAAAATAGGTGTTAGGAAAGAAGTAGTTTTGTGAAGGAATCTGCATGTTTTAACCTCAAGAGTTCCTATCCTCCTCATTTTAAAGTTTGTCAGTAAAAAAAATAATTTTAAACATCATCCAAAAATCTGTGGGTTAGATTCTTACAAATTTAATATCATGAATTTGTGAACTATTTGAGGCAGTATCAAACTTGATTTTTGATGTTATGGAGATAAAATAACCAGCTTGGATTTTTTTTAAAGTAGTCTTATTGATATTTGTCAAGAGTTTTATTTTAGCTGCTTTTCCCTCAATTTATGAGCTTAACTTTTGTGAAGATCCAACTTCATTTTATGAAGTTGATATCAAGCATACAATTTAAATATTTTCTTTTTATTATTAGTTTCCAACATTTACTTTTTCTTTCCAGATTATCCCACACAGAGCTGTTGGAATTACTCCATGATGATTTCAAAGGAAATTTTCTTCTCTAAACATTCTTATCCCAAGGTAAATTGATGGATTTCTAATGAATAAATTCCGGGAGGAAAACATGGGTACTTTCATACTTCAATTCAGAGACTTAATTCCCTCACTTTTAACTGTAGCCACCTGCCATTCTAAGTTTATGCAGTCATTTTTAACAATGGGAGATTATTATATTTTTGGTACGACATTGGTCACCTTTGTGTCATTTGAGACCTAGTGGGTTTGGTTTGTTATGCCTATGCAAATGGGGAAACACACCACCCTAAACATGTCTAATCCTGTCATGGAAGATTTTCTTGGAATAATTGGAGTGTGATGATGGAGCAGGGAGGAAGGAGGCAATGGAAATTGAGGAAAAAGGGTCTCAGCCTGAATTTTCCAAATTGGCTATTTATCTGGTTAATTCTTCATCTTTCCTCATCACCATGTCTGAATTGAGAAAATCTTCCTAATGATAATAAACTATGTCAAGAACAGATGGCTGATTTGATGTGATGAAAATAGCTATGTCAATTGAGGGTATTTTTTTCCTTACCCACTTTGCTTTTCATCACTCTGGGGTTGGTAGTTCATGTAATTTTTTTTTTTCTTTTGCAGAATATGCCCTGAGCCCAATATATTGGGTGAATCTCTGCTCAAAAGCAGTTGGGCCCTTTTCTCTGAAAAAAAAAAATTGAGAAATGGCTTTAAAGAAAAAAAAAAAAAAGTACTTATCACCTTTCCTGTCTTTTCAGCTTTAGTTAAGTTACTTTGGGAAGGATCAGTTTACAACAAATGTTTAGTGTCAGGAATTTTACAGTTTCATAGGCCCTGACAGCTTGGCATGAAAAGAGGTGGCAGTATGTCAATTGTAAACGAGGATGCTATTTACATACTAATTAAACTTTGCACTAGTGGGGTGAAAGAATGTCATTAGAAGCACCCCAGTTATTCTGTTTATATCATTGTTGTCTATTTAAACTGTCTATTGTTTGCCATGTCACAACCTCATCCCCTAAATGCCATTTCATAACCTTATAATACTTAAAAAATATTACCCCATTGCTTAACAAATCACGCAGAATTAGGATATCTAAAAGCAAAAGGAATTCCCCAAACCACTTTGCTTCAGGATAGAACCCAGTTGGATGATAATGTACTAACAGTTTTTATCAACTACTTCCTATATGCAAAGCATTTTGCTAAACATTTTTTTATTTGTTTTACATCTTAATTCACTTGTTCTTGAAAATAAAGTGGGAATGCTTCTTACAACCTTTTTACCCCTGAGGAAATTGGGGCTGTGCAATATGTAAGTGAGGACATCAGGACTCCCTCATTCAGGCTCTTATTATCATACCTTATAAACCTCTGCTTTGCTGGGTCCTTTGATCCACAAAGTGTCCCACTGCTATCAGAGATGGGCAGGGTTACTAAAATTACAGCAAAAGCAGGGATTTCACTTATTGTCTTAATCCATTTATTTATGGGGAAAAAAGTTTAAATAATAAAGAGCCTATGCCTATTGCACACTATATTATTCTTTATCTACATGATTAGTATATCACTATTACAGGCTCTTATCACATATTTCCCACTGCTTTCCAGTTCCATCTCACCCTATCTTGTACCAGTGCAGAGCACAACAGTCTTTTGGTGATGCCTTTACACAGCATTCCACATGTATTCTGTGAACCTGATTCAGGAAGACCAATCGTGTCGGTTAGCTCATAAAACAAAAAGTGACTGAGAGTCCATTGAGCTATTTTATTCTCTTACTTCCTATCTACAGAAGGTTTATTGGATTTGTCTAAAGACTATTTTTTTCCCCCTCACTGGATAAGGAGCAGAATCAACATTATATCACATCTGTGTGGGAGTTGGCTTCACAAGATTTGCAGCCATAAAGAGCAAGATCAGAACTTTTCCCTACTGGGGGGTGTTGGAAGCAGCCCACCAACCATGTGGATATTTATTCTCCAGTGTTGAGAGTGAGGAGTTGGCCCTTCTTGGCATTGTCAACAGAGTGCTGGTCTGTACTTCTTTCTTTAAAAATGACAGAAACAGAAAGCCTAGAGGGTTGACATTGAAATACCTTGCCAAAAGAGGATTGAACACATGATCCTTTACAGCTTTTTCCTCACTATTTTCAAGGTTGAAATAATTCCATGATGGAGTAAAAAAAAAAGCCAGGGGAAGGAAAAAGAAAATATACTTCGGCTCTTGTTAATTCCAACCACTACACCACATTTCATGAAATGTGACATAGTTTTCCTCTACAAGCATGCCAAAGAAAGGGGGGAAAAATCTAAATTTTGAGCTGATAACTCGAATGGTTCCAGAGATATCAACTTGTGAAAAGTCACAATTTTGCATTGTGCTGAAAAGCCACCTTCCAATGCGGGGACTACATCACTCTTTAATATCCAGCCGAGTCCCCTGCTGCGCTTTGTCAGTCAGTAGCAACATCCAAGTCTTCCCCTAAAAGTAATTCACACTTTTTTCACAACACTGTTGCTTTAATTACCACTGAACTCTGCTGATGCTCAGGCAGGCCTGGCAGGACCAAGGGAGGGTCAGAGCCACAAAAGAAGCAAATAGCTTTTTTCCTCCTTACTTTATTATTAACAAACCATCTTTGATGGAAATGTTCCTAGTTCTGAGGCCTAGACTTAACTCTGCGCCCCCTTGGCGTATTCATTATCAAAAGAGACTCACAGATGCCGAGAGAGAGAGAGATTGAGAGAGAGAGAGAGAGAGAGAGAGAGAGAGAGAGAGATTGAGAGAGAGAGAGACAGACAGACAGACAGACAGAGACAGGAGAGGAATAGTGCCAGAAATCCTAATTAGAAATTAGAGATTTGGGCCAAGAATGGACTTAGTTATTCAAAATTGGCAAATGATTGCATTTCTCATAGAGCTTTCATTTTCTGAAAGTGAACATAGATTTCATACCCTGCAGTTTTGCTGGACAAATGTCTATTTGTCTGTTCATTTAGTGTGGATTCCTTTTTACAGGATTAGTTGACACAGTAAATCATATATCAAAAGAAATCACAGAACTGCCAAAATCTACTAGTGCATAAAAATAATAGAAAGAGCCTATGCTTTATAAATAATACGACAGCAATATTATAGGTATAGCATGTCTATGTAAGGCACTTTTCATTCCATGTCACAAAATATTTCCCTAATAAAACTATTCCTGTGAAACCAAATTCCACAATATGCTCCACATAGAATGAGAGGGTACCTCTCAGTAACTTCACACACACTTTTAGGGAAGCAATAAATTGGATTGTAATCTTTGGTAAATGATTTAAAAGACTGCTAAGTTTTGCCCTGGCTTTAGAATTTCTTGTTTAAAAATATTATAATTTAAAGTTATACTGTAGGCTTGTGTGTGTATACATTACCATGCTATTAATGCTACTGCTGTTTATCATGATCTGTTTCATGTTCTGATTTACTACCACTGTGTAGGATTTAGCTGGATAGTATGGTACTATGATTAATTAATATACTATTAATATATTACTGATATACTATTAATATGTTACTGATATAATACATAGTATCTGTTTATCAGTAACATTAATATACTATATTATTAAATAGCAGTAATATTAATATATTATATATCAGTAATACATTAATATACTACAGACAAATAAATTCATATCCAAAGTCCCTATGATTTGATCCTAACCTTTTTAATATACATCTTTATTCCCATCTATATACATCTTATGTGTCTATGATTCCAAAACCTGATTGACCCTCACAATTTCCTGAGGAGAAGAGGAACTCAATAAATTGGAACAACTGAGAATTAAGGTGTAAAATTGTAGCTCTTGTAGTTTCAGATAATGTGTACTAGGTTTGTATAGTTTCTTGAATTAAACTTTTCTGCTTATTTCCTTACTTTTAAAACTCAACCTATGCTGTAGAAATCTTACTAATCTTTCCTAGTTCTAAGTATAGAAATCAGCATTTCTGAAATCAGTCCTGATAGTGCTGAATATCCTCCCCAAGACTTAAACTTTCTATGCTAAGTTGCCATTATTCATATTTATCTCTTTATCTTCTCTTCTATATTTGTTTTATTAAAATATAAGCTTGTTCAGAGTATAGGTTATAATATTCTTTCTGGAATTCACAGTGGGTAAAAAAGATGCACTCTGTGGAATGAATCCCTGAATTAGATTTCATGCAGAATTTAAGACTGCAGACAAAGTTGAAGTGAATAACTCATGCTCATATATTCATTCTGTGGCACAAGCACTAAGACTTTCCAAAGATGACTACACTAGTATATATTTCACTCCACACCTTCTCTTTACAGTGTTGACAAATATGTTGAGAATGATCCATTGATGCATTGGTGGGGTCTATATTCTTTCACCACAAATCTGGGCAAATCTTTGTTTGCTTTAATCAAAAGTAATGAAGTATAAATGATCCTTTATGGATTCTGGGGCTAGGTCACAAAAAGTTCACACAGTGTCATCCTGGATCTCTCTTGAGAGGCAGGTCTTGAGCGCCTAGAACTGACATGTATGGAGTCTGGCAACCCTGGAGCTGCATACTAGAGATAGCACCAAGAGGAACCATGCTGTTTCAGAGGAGCCTCGATGCATCCAGCCCCCAGCAATTGCTCTGAACGCCATGGAGCACAGAAGTCAACCCCATCATGCCCTAATTTCTGATGCACACAATCTGACATGTGGCTGCTTTGTGCCACTACATTTGGGGAAGTTATTCAGAAGTACTAATTAGAACACACAATTTTAGGCATAAGAGAACCAAATCGAAGCTGGGTGTGGTGGCACATGCCTATAATCCCAGATAAGGCAGGAGGATCATGAGTTCAAAGTACCAGTCTCAGCAAAAGTCAGGCACTAAGCAACTCACTGAGATCCTGTCTCTAAATAAAATACAAAATTGGGCAGGGGATGTGGCTCAGTAGTTCAGTGTCCCTGAGTTCAATCCCCGGCACCCAAAAATAAATAATAAAAAAAAATAAATAGAACCAAACTGAG